CATATTTTACTTGATTCGGGCGAACAAACGCTTCCATCATTGAAAGCAATCCTGGGATTCTTAAGTAGATTTTAACTTTTTATCTTTTTGCACACAAGAAATAGTTTATTTCTTATATAATGATTTTGAAACTATCTATGAATCTTATTCTTCTCATACCATAGAAATGCATGCCATCCACGTTGCAGATCATGTCCTTCTTGGATTCTTGTAGCACTTTCAATTTAATTCTGGCTTTCCTTTCTTGCCAAATAAATTTCAAAATCAAAGTATTTAAATCATCAAAAAAATTCTTCTCTATTTTTATAGGTGCTGTTTGTAACAAGAAGAGCAGTTTTGGTAAACTCTTCATTCTCACAGTAGCTATTCTTCCTAACACTGATAGTTGTAAGTTTTCCCATTTTTATAGATCTAATTTTATTTGATTAAGTAATGTTATGTAGTTATCTTTTATTATTGCACATCTTGCTGTTAGGTATATTCTCAAATATTTAACTTTCCTAACTATTTGAAAATCCATTTTTTTACAATTGTTCTTTTTCCTTAGATGTAAGGTTTTTAACTATAACTTTTGTTTTTTCTCTATTTATCTTCAATCCTGCTACTTCTCCAAATAACTAAATCCTTTTCAATAGTTTAGGGAAGACATGTTAAACTCACAAAGTCACGCTACGTTGCGCGACGTATCGGGATTGTTTTGCCATTGCCGGCAATGGGGTGGGCACAGTTTTTGGGTGACACATCCGGCCTGCGAACTGGCAGTTTGACACCCCTGTTTAGGGGTTGTCTCCAGTGGTTTTTTTTTTTTTGTCTTTTTATAGCTTCCATCAGTTCCATCATTGTTATTTTTTCGTTTAGCATGTTTTTAATGTTTTCTGAAATTTTTGGTACATTGGCTTTTTCCATATATTGTGTTGTTTTTTCCAGAGATATTTTTTTTCTATGTCATATAGTTTTTCATAATATTAACTATTTTTATTGCCTCATTTTGGAGTTGCACATCTCCCTTCTTATGTTTCAATTTGTAAGCCAGCCATCTTCCCGGTTTATTTGCATTTTCGGAAAAAAAATATTTTGCTCTTTTCATTTGTTGAGCGCATTTTTCTGACTCTATTAGGTTTAGTTTATGTTTAATTATCTCCATTTGTCTTTTAAGAGTTTTTTTGTGGATCTTTTTGAAGTTCTAGCTTCAATTTTTTAAACTCTTCCCTTTGCGTTGTCCCTATTTTACTATTTTTGAAATCTAATTTTTCATTCACAATTGCGTTAAAGCCTCCTACTAAACAATTATTTTGATATTCCATTTCCAATATTTTCCTGTGTAGTTTTTGATAAAATATTTCTTGTTTATTGTTTGGTGCATGTCTTGATACTAGCAACATCTTTTTTTATTAAAAATCATTAAAATTACCATTAAAATTCTTTGTTCTTCCTTCAAGGTCCCTTCCAACTCTATTATTCTGTTATCCATCATTTAAAGCCGCCACATCTCTAAAATTAGCTCAAAAGCTTTGACTGTAAACTATTTTGGGACATTTTTCCAGGCTTGAAAGACATAGATTTTT